GGGCCTGGGCTGGAGCCTGCGCCGCCTGCGGGGCCTGTTGGGCGGGGGCAGCAGCGAGGAGGAGCCGGTGAGCGGTGGGGCTGGATGTGGGGGCAGGGAGTTGGGGGGCATGAGCTGTGGGGGGAGCTTGGGAGTGTTGGGGGAGGGGCAGGGAGTTGGGGGCATGAACTGTGGGGGGAGGGAGTTGGGTGGTTAGCTGGAGCGGGGGGTAGGGACTGGGGGGATTTGAATGGAGGAGTTGGGGGTTGGGGGGCTTGAGGTAGGAACTTGGGGGGTTGGGGCTGGGGAGAGCAGCTGAGCTTGGGTAAGTCTGGAGCTGCAGCCTGGAGGAGATGAACCGAGCTGGGGGTTGATGCGCCTTGGGGTAGCTGGGGGGATCCGATAGGAAGGGAACTGGACCGGGCTGTGGGGAGAGGGCTGGAGCTGGGAGTCGGGTTGTAGCTGGGTAGTATGTGGGCATGCAGGAGAGGTTGGGGGATGTTCTGGGGCAGTAGGAGGTGGAGCTGGGGGGGGAATGTTGGGGAAGCAGTTGGGTGGCTGGGAGCCTGGGGTGCTGCTGGGGCAGGGAGCTGAGGCCCCAGGGCGGGGGGGGGTGAGGTTGGGGAATGGGGTACTGGAACCCTAGGGCTGAGTGGGGACTGAACAGTTTCCGGAGAAACTGGGAAGTATAGGGAGAAGCTGCAGAGAGCATCTCTATGGGGAAAGGAGCTGGGGCCACAGGGCTGGAGGTGTGGGGAAGGTTGAGGGGTGGGAGATCATGGAGGGTCTGTGATTCTGGGGCAGGGGGCATCTTGGGGGTGAGCTGGGTGACCTGTGGGGGTGGGTCCCTGTGGGAGGGGTGTGCGGGTGCTGGTGGGAGAGGGGAAAGTTAGGGGGCTTGGTGGACTCTAGAGCTGGGTTGAGGGGGGACCCTATGTGGGGCTGGGGCAGTGTTGGGGTTCTGCTTGGGGGCAGAGGTTGCTGTTTGTGGGGCTAGGGAGTTGTGGGTTGCAGCCCCCCAATGTTTAGAGGGGTTTGACTGCTGCATGATAGGAGGTGGTACCTGGCCAGGGGAGCCCATCCTGAAGGAGTTCTGGGTGCCCCCTTGCCTGAACAGTTCTTTTGGGCTGGGGTGGGGCAGACAAGGGTCATTGGGGAGGAGCCCTGCCCCACATGGTGTGCGTTGGGAAGCAGGAGGCACACACAGTGCCCATTTCACCCTTGCTGACTGTAGCCAGCACTGGGCTGAGCTCATCCTGACTTTTCCATGCCCCCCTCTGGAGTTTGACTTCAGAGTCTGGGCGGCAACTGGCAACGCCACCCTCAGCAGCTTCCTGACCTGCCCCGGGCATGGCACCACTCGGAGCCCTCCCTGGAAAGTCGCTGTGATCCAGTCAAAAACAACAAGGAGTCTGGTGGCACCTTAAAGACTAACAGATTTATTTGGGCATAAGCTTTCCAGTCGTGATCCAGTCGGCATCTGCCCTGGGGTCACATTTGGTTCTTTGCCCGCCCCCTCCTCAGTGCATGGGGCCCCTCTTTGTGGGCACATACAGATAGTCTCCCCCTCTGGGTGGGCCTGTGTGCAGTGAAGGGTGGGAGGTTCCCCTGTCCTGAGGAACCTCTGTGAACTGCGTGATGGTGTGGCTAATGGCCGGCAAGGTGCCTTGTTTCGGGAGCGGGGCGAGTCTCTGGCACCAGCATTCTCACCCCTTGCCACGCCCCATGCTCCTCCTGCCCGGGGCTAGTATGGCATGGATGCGCTCTCACTGTGGGCAGGCTGGCTGGTGCTGGGAGGGCTGGGTTTGGCTCTGACCTGGCCTCCCATGCAGCGCGGCGTTGAGAGCCCTGCTGGCCACAGTCTTGCATGTGGGGCAAGAGCTGCGCTGGAATCAGGAGTCGAACCCCCTGCTTAGGTAACAGGTGGTTGGAGCACTGCCACTATGGAGACTTGGGGTCCAGCCCCGGCTCTGCCACTGGTCTGCTCCCCCTCCATACCTCAGTTTCCCCACCTTTCTAAGGGGGCTGCTGACTCTGCCCTCTTTGGAAAATGATTGAAGTTTATGGATGGAGATGTGGGGCTGTCCTGGCACATGGGGTTCCTGGCCTGAACAGGCCCTTCTTTGCTAGATGCTGAACGTGCTGATCTCTGCCCCGGAGCCCGAGTCATCACTCTTGTGGCTCTCCGTGTCCACTGGGCCAGGGAACTTGCCTTTCCTGTTTGGAGAGGAAAGCTCTGTGTCTCGCCTGGTCACGGGACTCCAGGAGCCCGGCCTTGGAGAAAGGTGCCAGCCTTGCCGGAGTGGGCAGCGTTCGGGGCTGGGCCAGCTGCGGTGAGGGCAGCCATCTGACAGGGATCCCACGGGGTGAGAGGGGGTCAGCGCTGGATCAGCCTGCCCTGCAGAATGGGTTGTCTGTCTTCTGTGGATATGGGGGAGCTGGGTGCCCCCAGCCCATGGGCCTCGGGTTGCCCGGTTGCAGGGGCCTTCGGACAGGGGAGTGCAGCTGTCTTCTGCAGGGGTTGCTGAGAGATGAGACCCTTGACTTGCCTGGAGCCGCAGATTCCAGCAAAGGCACTTGGGATAAAGCCACTACAGACCTGGGGCCCAATTGGAGCCGGTGCCCCCTAGAGGGGAAAGGTGCCATGACCCATATCTTTCCCCCCTGAGCCAGCCAGTCCCTGCCCTGGGACCCGCTCAGAGCCGGAGCCCCTAGAGGGAAAGCTCCCTGCTCCGTTCCCTGCTCCTGCTATTTCTTGGCTCCATTTCGCTGTAGTTCTGCCAGTGAAAGGTTCCTGACCTAGCTGGTGCTCTTTCAAGGGGCATGTGGAGGTGGCCGCCAGTCTCCTGCCCCACCAGCAAAGGGGCTGGTTCTGTTTCCTCCCGGGGCGGAGTTACCCATGTACCAGCAGGTGGTGTGGTCTCTTGGCACCCATCCCGAGGAGTTTGTCCAGCCGTAGCTTGGCCTTGCTCTCCTGTTGCCCAGTGAAACGCTGGGTGCATCTGACCTCAGGCAGGCCTCGGCTTCCCCAGCACACAGGTGAATGTTGTCAGTGCTGTCTGCTGCTTGGGGCGGCACGGGGAGAGGGAGAGCCGGGAGGTATGAGCCTGCACGATTGTGGCAGGGACCCAGCAGTCCCCATGCTGTGTGCCCTTGAGCTGGCAAAGCAGCCCATTGTGCTGCCCATTGTGAAGTGCCCACAACAGAGGGGCAGCACCGCCTGACTGGCAGAGAGGAGTAGGCACCGCTATGCAGGGTTCACACCCCAGGGCTGCTTCTAGCTTCTCAGTGTACCTAACTGCTGGGGCTAGTTGAGCTGAAGCATGTTATGCTGGGATGGCTCGTCCAGTGCTGAGATGCAGCCACCTCTGGGGCGGGGCAGCTAGAGAACAACCGCACATAACTACATGAGGATGCCTTGTCCAGGACTGGACAATGAGATGCAGCCACCTCTGGGGGACGCTGGGAAATAGCCACACAGGGATGGCTCATCTGGCGCTGAGATGGGGCATCTGGGGAACAGTCTCTCATTGCCCCTACTGACATGTTGCTGCTTCTGGGGTGGGGTAGCTGGTACGGCTACACGATGATGAAGTGCTCGTGTCCTTGTGTGCCTGCCATGCTCCACTGTGAAGGCAGCTGCATCTAGCGCTGGGCAAGCCTCCCTGTGTGGTGGTGTATACAGCTGTTCCCCAGCTGCTCTGCCCTAGAGGCGGCTGCATCTCAGTGCTGGGGGAGTGTAATCCGTTAAGGCCCTTGCTATCCTTTGGGGCATCTATCAAAAGCTGCTAGCGAATGGGCAACATTTCTCTTTAGGCAGGGGATGCTCCCATCCCACTGGCTAGTTGTGTCCCCCCAGCACCGCCTGATCCCACATGGTCCTGGGTACGGTGGCATGGCAGCCGGTGTGTGCACAGCTAGGGGCAACGTGCCACCAGTTCCCAGACTCCGTGTGGGACCTTGGCCGGCGGCTGCATCTCTCTGTGCCTCAGTTTCCCCGTTCTGGGGCAGCGGCTCCCCTCGCTATGGATTGCAGACTGGCTGGGGCAGGGCTGTCTCTTGGGTGTCCGAGGGGCACTGATTGTGCCTGCCGCGGGGGTCCTATGGGCCGCGTCTCAGTGTGCAGTAAGGAAGCCGGGTGAGCCTGCGCAGGTACAGCAGGAAGCCAGCGAGCCGAAGTTACTTAGTGGTTAGTTGTCAAACCAATCTGATAGCTTTCTTTGATAGGATAACGAGCCTTGTGGATAAGGGTGAAGCTGTGGATGTGGTATACCTAGACTTTAGTAAGGCATTTGATACAGTCTCGCATGACATTCTTATCGATAAACTAGGCAAATACAATTTAGAAGGGGCTACTATAAGGTGGGTGCATAACTGGCTGGATAACCGTACTCAGAGAGTTGTTATTAATGGTTCCCAATCCTGCTGGAAAGGCATAACGAGTGGGGTACTGCAGGGGTCTGTTTTGGGACCGGCGCTGTTCAATATCTTCATCAACGACTTAGATATTGGCATAGAAAGTATGCTTATTAAGTTTGCGGATGATACCAAACTGGGAGGGATTGCAACTGCTTTGGAGGACAGGGTCATAATTCAAAATGTTCTGGACAAATTGGAGAAATGGGCTGAGGTAAACAGGATGAAGTTTAACAAAGACAAATGCAAAGTGCTCCACCT